GCCCACGGTCCAACCTTGAGCTTTCTTTGGAGCCGGCTTGACCTTGGCCTTGGCCTTCCCGGAAGCCACCGATTCCTTGAGCAGGTTGACGATAGGTCGCACCTTGTTCTTGATGGTCTCCACGTTGTCGTCGGCCTTCACGTCCACGTTCAACAAGGTCGCCAGCTTGATCAAATCCCCTCGAAGCGGCGGCAAACCGCCACGGGGTCCGATCAGGGCTCTCGCCTGCTCCTCCTTGGTTCCTGCAGCTTCTGCTTCTCTGGCCTCTTGCTGAGCTTCGAGCAACGCGGCATTCTTCACCTTGTTCTGCAGGCCTTTTGCCATCTTGCCATGAATCATGCCCATCACGATCGGGTCCTCGCAGAAGGACGTTTGAAGTCCAAGGCGGTTTCGCCAATGGATGCATTCGCTCAAATTCTGGTAGGTGAACCTGTCCATGGTGTAGGCCATGTCGAGGTGCTTCCGGCATCCATGACCATCCTTGACTTGTTGCTGACCTTGGCGCAACCACATGTCGGCCGTTCCCGTAGAGGGATAGGGTAGCGGTAAGAACCGCAAGTAGGGCCTTGGCAGGGCCCACAAGAGCACTCCTTTCACGGCCCAGTTGAACCTTTCTCGCACGCGAAGGACAAACCTCCGCCACCGAGTCACTGCCATGGTCATCACATGAGGTCCGAGCTGCTCCTTTGAGTGGCTCTCCATGCCGGGTAGAAGTCCTCGGGGTCGTCCTGGTAGTAGGGGAAGTCGACGTGAAAACGCTGCCACGAGTAGGCCGTGGCATTGAGGTCGCTTGAACCGAGCCAGACGACAGCGGGGACAACGCTGTGCAGACAAGGTGGCCAGCACGAACACTGTTCTCCGTCAGGAAGTGATCATGACTGTCTGAAAACGATTCATGAAAAGCGACATCTGGAAGTTTCAACCGACGACGAATCCACTGCTTGAAACTGAACTGCACTTCAACAATGCCGTCCAACCCAAAACGCCTCCACTTCTGAGCGCCCAAACCTCTCCAGCGATCCGGCAGGAGCCGCAAAGCGTAGTGACCTGCAGCGAGCTGGTTCAAAGGGATCTCGATGCCGTCCAAATGGTCACAACGAAGGGCTCTACGGGAAAAATCCATGACCGCACCTACGGCTTCAAGAAAATCTCGACCTAATAGTAACCCAAGGGAGGCAACTGGCACCACCGATGTCCAAAAACAAATAATGCCACCGCCAACCACCGTAGGGAGCCTCCACCTCTCATTGCTGACTTGGGTCCCGCCGTTTCCAAACCGGAAGGTCTCATGCTCGGGTTCACTGCGGACCAAATCCACCACTTCCTTTGGAGCCGTTGCCCTCAAAACCGTCAAAAAGCTATGCAGCCAGTCCGAACCCGTGCAAGTGCGGTTGCAAGCACTGTCCAGAGCCCCCATCAGCCTTTTGTCAACAGCGAGCCCAAGCGCATTGACCTCTTTGGGCTCGTGGAAGTTCTGTACAGTCTCAAGGAAGGCGTCCGAAAGGACAGGCGACTGGCGTTGCACCATCAAGACCTCATGGCCATCAGTTGCAACCTCTTCATGCTCGGTGTTGAGCGCCTCTGTGACCTTCACTTGCTTCAAGGTCGCCTTGCCCTTCTTTCGCCCCAGCTGCTGGCCTGGCTTTTGACACTCTGCATCTCCAGCCCAGTGACCTGGAAGGCCGCAATCAAAACAAGGATGACGATCAGATTGCTTCTTCAGGTTCACCTTGGAGGTAGGTGAGGTGGCCGTGGGATTTGGAGCTTTCCCATAGCCGCGGTCCTTTCGAACCTCTTGGAGCTTTGTCCTGGCTTCCTTCATGGTCAAGAAGGCCTCAGCTGCTGCTTCAACACTGTCCTCGATCTTGCGGAGGGTGTCATCATCTACACCATTTGCCGCTGCTTCATCAAGCTCGGCCGCCAAGACTTCAGCCTCAGTCGTGAGCACCTCCTCAAGCGAAGGCGAATCGCCCTCAGGGTCAGGTTCATGCGCCTCCTGAGCGATCTCAGCAGCCATTTCATCCTCCTCGGCCTCAGAGACCATGACCTGCTTCTGAACGAAGGGTTTCCGGTAGGCCGAACTGGAGTTGAACCGACCTGATGACGCCGTCGAGGAGCCCGATCTCAATGACCTGCCAGTCGAACTTGCCATCGAGGGGGCGTATGAAGAAGCCCTGCTTGTAGTGGCCTGCTGGCTCAAGAACCTGTTCAACAAAGGAGCTCGTTGTTCTCCTTCTCCACCTCGTCGATGAAGTGGATCTGCAACATGCAGGTCCTTGAACAAGCGCAAGACCTCACGCTCGATGGTGGGGTAATCCTCAGCACCGGCCAATGCCGTTTCCAACAACTGAGCGCTCAAGGGATCTAATCCCAGCTTGTGCTTGAACCACCATCCAAGCTCGCCATCTCCAATGACCACGCCCTCGATCTTCAGCTCGGCAACCAAGCTACGATATCTCGTGGCAAACTCAGAAATCCTCTCTCCGCTCTTCCTCCTCAGCTCAAGGTAGAAGACATTCCTGAGCTCGCCTCTTTTGTCCAGCGATGTTCTGCCGGTCATTTCCTCCAAGGAACGAAGCAGCTTGTTGATCCCGGAAAGTGGGTCCTCCGGGGTCACCACCTCCTCATCACCTGTCGTGGGGTTTGGCATCCTCACCTCCTGCTGGTAGGCCAACTCATGAGGTTCATATTCTTCTCCACGTTGTCGAACCACTCCGCTCTGGCGGAGAAGCCACCTGGCAGCCAAGTTGTACTTCTTCGTCGATTGCAGGTCTAAACCTGCTAGCCACCAGTTCATCTCCTTGCGGAATGACCTCCAGGTCTGAGGGGAGCCATCCCACGTAGGTACTCGGGCCCATGCACCCGAGTTGGAGTCCTTGCCGTCATCAGCCATGCCAGCTAGAAAAATCGATCCGCTTCGGATCTTCTCTTCAAACACGATGTGAAACCAGCAAAAGTCAAATTCGAAGCTCTTCCACCACACCAGCCGCTCCAACAGGCGCGTGCCCTCGGAAACCACTGGCCTCTAAGGCAAAGAACTTGTTCTCAATGTCCACGATGAAGGACGAGATCCACCGCCAAGTGTCACCCTCCTCAGCCGCCAGGACAAAGAGCTCGGTCGTGCAAAGAACTGCCCAAAAGCGAAAGCAAGCGGAGCCAACCACCACCCAAAGGCCAAGAACACAAAACCAAAGGCTCCGGTGCCACTGAAGCAGTCCGTGCTATGGCGGCGCGGACGAGCAGGCTTTCTCACCGAAGCGAACACGCGTAGCACTTGGCTGAGGCGCCTGCGGTCAACCTCAGACCCTCAAGACATGTCCAAGCCATCATGGAAATCACATGAAGCTTTCTTCATATATATATATATATATGTTGTTGAGTGTAAAGCTTACCCTGGTATGGTCTAAGTACTACAGGAAGAGACAAACATGAATGAAGGAACGTGTGTCGTCCATCCGCCTCGCATGTCATGGTCACCAGCATCAAATCGGAAGTCACGCTGTGCGACGTTCTCAGTGGAAGAGGCCAGGAGATCCTGTTGCAACTGTCCAAACCAAATCCCAACCACATCTCCCTCCCATCCCGGATATACCAAAAAATTAGTAATGGACTGTTTTCCAATGTTGCAATCCTGTAAGGCAAGGTGCCATCGTTCTTTTGATGAATGGGACCGGGATTCGGCAAAGATTAGCCCTAGTGACTCCAACTTTGTGTCCTCGGCTTCTTGCAGATGATTGGTCAACATCAGCTTGATGCTTTCCTCAATGGCATGCAGGTCTTCATTCCAGCGCTGCTGGACCTCACAATTTCGGAAATCCGGGCCAGCTTTCACTGGTAAACAAGACCTACATATTTTGTTTCCAATGAGAATGTTTTTCAAGTTTCCTGCAGTGCTTGGTCAATCCTGCCTACCTACACAGACTGTCCAGCCAAAGGCGAGGCCTCAGGGTCGATGATCTCAACAGCATCCTTGTCGTCTGACATAGCGCCGTAGCATAGAAGCTTCTGTTGTTCAACTTCTTTGCACACGTTACCCAGCTCAAGTTGCAGCTAAGAAAAGGTTGGTAACATGTGTCATGTGTCTCTCCACGCAAGAGTAACAACAGTAGAATCTGTAGAACATCCATGAACATGAGCTACATGGAATTACATGAGGTCAAGGCCACCAAGGAAATTCGGTACTGCTTTATCCGCTCGAGCCCAGCTCGAAAGGAACATGTACAGTATATAGAAGTGTTGCCACACTAATGAAAAGCGCAATGATGCGAAAAACATGTCTTGAGAATATTGCCTACTCCTCTGTTCGGCACTACATCTGGAAAATCCAAGATCCTGCAATTATACCCAATAACTCTTGTCTACCATCCTGAAGGCAGATTCTCAGATCGACAAGACAAAACTCCTTTTAATTGATCTCTCTACTCATAGAATGGCATTGCCCGCCAAAGCGATCAGGCAGGAGACCTATACAGCTGAAAGGGCGTGCGTAATGACGCCGAGCATATTGAGGACTGGACTGCAAAGGAGCCGCAACAAAACCGAAAGCAACAGCGTGGCTCCCAATGATGGAGCCTTAAGATGCCAACCCCAAACAAAAACAATGGTTCTCATCAACAACAGTGGGGCATTCACAGGTCTTGAAGGGCTCTCTCCTTGGGCATAATCTCTGAAGCTTTGCGCACCTCGTGCTCAGGCCCAGCTGGCAGTCTGTTTGTTCAAGACAAACTATCTGAAGCCGTAACATCATGTTTGTCGTCTACCTTGGATTTCATGAGAGGAATAACAACTGGCCTTTCCCTCCGCATGAGGTCCAAAATGAGGTTGCGCGGCGCTCTTGCGAAGGAAGCACTTGTCTTTAATTGCCTTCCTGCCTTCAAAACCTTCCGTCGAGATGGCCAGCTTGCTCTGCGGGCTGGACTGGAACAAGAAGCAAATCAAGAAGTAATAAAGAAGGATTGGAGCTGTAACACAGGTAAAGTTCTGCATTCTTGACACATGTTGAGAGTATACATGTCAATCACAGCTTACATCTGGCAGGGGCGTAGCGCGACCAGGTCGCACTTTTCTTGTACCAGAGTTGCCGCTCGGCAAGGAGCATCACTGCCAAAGCGGCATTCTGAAAAAGATGCCCTTGTTCGAAGCAAAGATGAGACGAAACAAGGAAGCAAGTTGAGTCAGGAACTGCAGAGAGTGAATTTGATCCCAGCAAAAAGTAGGGTCCAAAATGGCCCTGCGGATCAGAATAGCAAAAGTCCGGGCCAACTGCCTCTCATGGTGAACCACCTCTTTGACATCAATCAGCCTCACAAGTACTCCATGACTCCATGAGTCCACCTGACCCCAAAACCTTGGATTTTAGTCGATTAGGTTGGAGGCCATCGCTATTACAGTAGGTTGGCAGGTTGGAGGCCATTGCTAGTAGGTCGGAGGCCATTGCTGGTAGGTTGGAGGCCACCGCTCTTAGGTTGGGCCATAGCGTTGAGAAATTCCTGTACATGCTCTGGAGCTGTGGGTCGTAGGTCTTGCTCGATTGCCAGCAGAACAGACAGTAACTGCCATATATATATATACATATACAACAAATTACAGATCTCCCCTGCCCAAAGCCTCTGTGGACTTCTCCTGCCACACAAAAGCCAAAAGCCTTGTAACAAAAGTTCTAGCATTCTTGCCTGCCCTGTACTTATGGTATATAAATAAATCATAGTTCTACCCAATATCTTCCTACAACATCACGCTGGGTCATAAACAATCATGCAGAATCTGCCAGATTTCCCTGGCCTGACTGGCTTCTGAGGACGTCTTCTGCGCTTCAGGGCTAACCTGTGCTTGTCCAAAATCGTGGACAAATGAAGACGCATGTTCAAAAACCATCTTGGATAAGCAAATTATCCATGTCATAAAGTATATACGACTTCTTTCTTGGCTGTGCTTCTCCAACTGGGCTATCTGCACGGCCGCTCTCCTGGTCCACGGACCCCGGGTGCTTCTTTCTGTCGCTTTAGATTGATCCGTTCCGTTTTGCAACTCTCACCAGGCCCACTCCGGGCATAGGAAAAACAAGGCAAACACATACCCCATGAGCGCCCTGGCCCTGCGGCCCATTTCAAATGGCTTCTTGTTACTACTAGTAAGGCACTTGTTACTAGTAACGATGCACTTGTTTCAAATGGCTTCTTGTTACTACTAGTAAGGCACTTGTTACTAGTAGCGATGCACTTGTTTCTAATGGCTTCTTGTTACTACTAGTAAGGCCCTTGTTACTAGTAGCGATGCACCTGTTTCTAATGGCTTCTTGTTACTACTACTAAGGCACTTGTTACTAGTAGCGATGCACTTGTTTCTAATAGCTTCTTGTTACTACTAGTAAGGCACTTGTTTCTAATGGCTTCTTGTTACTACTAGTAAGGCACTTGTTACTAGTAGCGATGCACTTGTTTCTAATAGCTTCTTGTTACTACTAGTAAGGCACTTGCTACTAGTAGCGATGCACTTGTTTCTAATAGCTTCTTGTTACTATAGAATAGAAAATAGATTAGTGTCCCCCATTTTATGAGAGGGGGAACTCGTGATGCACTCTGTTTAGTTCTTTTTGTCTCTTCCCATAAACTTCACTCTTTTTTCCTGAGAGCCGGCACACCTCCGAACATTTCCTCATCAGAATGAGTTGACTTTGAGTAGATATTCCAGGGACCCATATAGCTAGTCAGCTAGTCATACTTTATATCCATGCAGACCGCTCCTGCCCAGTGGAAACAAATCCACTGGTGCCACTTGGGCTGGACATTTCAGATCCTGCAAACGTTGAAGATTTGTCACTTCTTTGTGTTTATGTTTTCACTAATGCATTTACAAGCACCATGCTTCAGACAGATTTGTTGCTTTACACTCCTAACAATGCGTGTCCCACATGCTGCTCATGCAAGGAGCAATACTCATAAAGGGCAGTCACAATTAGTTAGTTACTATCACATAGTCCACTTCCTGCCTGGGCCCATGAAGGTCATTGGTGTCATCATGTTGGGGACCGCGTACCTCAACTGCCATAGCATTAAAACCCTTCCGCTCACAGTGGTATTCGGTGTTTTCACTTGAGACAGGTTACCTAGAATGGCCATGAAAGCAACAGAATATACAAGCATAAAAGAGTGCACCCTTCTACTCCCAAAAGTCAACCTGCAGTGATTGGCAAAAAGAAGCAAACGATGCAGGTGTTGCACCTATGAGTCAACAAGTCCTTGAAAGCATCAGTTCAGTAGCAACTTCTCAAAGGAAGACTGGCGAAATCACCAGTCATCATGACAAGGAGTTCATTCTGCACCCAGGTCACATCATCTGCGGCATCTGTTGCATCATGCCGTTTGGATGACAAACCACCTCAGGCAGAGAGATTCTGCCAGCTTCCTCGCTGCTTCAGGGAGCCTTCAAAATACTGAAGTCTTTACTCCATTGACACAAGCGTCACTGAAAGCCCGCTGCCATGACGTTGTTCATCTGGGCCATGTTGTTGGCACACGATGTTCCGTTGCCTCTCATGCGACGCCATCAACCCTGGACACGTGTGTAAGCTCCTTCAACCATTCATGCACAGATACGAGAAGTGGAGTCGGCTGCAACAAAAGTTGTTGTATTTTCGACAAATGCCCGGATGAGAAAACCATGCAAATCTCGAAGCACATCCTGCCTGGAGCTCCTTCTGTCGAATTGTTACTGCGAGCAGCGTGGACCAAGAATGCTTACAGTGTTCTCACAATGGAAAAAAGATTCTTGGTTGGATGCCATTGCTATTAGGTTGGAAAAAGGATTCGTGCTTGCAGGAGCTTCAATGTTGTTGGCCACTGCTGTGGAGAAAGGCTTTCGCTGCGAATCCCAGCCTGACGTTCATGTTTCCGTCCATGGAGGTGGAATTGCCTACCGTGCCTGACGCCAAGTGTCAGCAAAGCTAGGATATGCTTCTTCTAGCAACACAAGGAACAACTGCGTGAACTCTTCTGTCTATCACCCAGAAGTACTGGTCACTGCTGCATCAGCTGCCATCTAGGAGTCCGGCAGCTGGTGTAGCTCGCATTCACCTGGTTTTGGAGCACCCGGACCGTCTCCTCAAGCTGCGCCTCAAGAGACTCCGAGTAGCAGAAGAAAAAAAATAAAGAAAGAAAGAAAAAGAACACCTGTATCTGTATTATATAGTATATTTGTATATGCACACCCTGTGCCAGACGATCTGACAAGAAAGGCGTTCAAGAGTCTGCCGCACAAGACTGTTTTTGAATTCAGCCTGTTCTTCGGCACTGCGCTCGGAGGCTCGGTGAGACCTTTTTAGTCACTACCTGAGGGCCAAGCTTGTCGATTCTGTAGCTCGGTCAGGATGGAGAAGATGAGGTCGAACTTCTCATTTCCCTGCCATGAAGAACTGGTCGCAGTAATAGGAAGGATCGATCTCCCCAGCCTTCTCGCCCAACTTGCGCAGGTTGTCTATGAACTCCTGCGGATTGGCCAAACTGGAACTGAAGCAAAAGATTGATAATTGATACGTAGATGAAGACTCAAGACTTACCAGCCGTCACCAAACAAGACGTGAGCGAGGCATCCAGCAGCCCAGCACTAGGTGCAAGACGGTTTTACTCAGTTCCTGAATAATTCACAAAAAGTCTTACTCCTGGGACATAGCATCGATGCGGCACTCGAGGTTGCTCAGGGTGGTCTGCATGACAAGTACGACAAACATTGCAACTTTTACAATCAGTCTGAAAAATTGCAAAATGATTTTCAAAAATCACCAGCATCATCTGTGTTGTTCCACCAGAGGAACAAGGGTGGAGACAAAAAGAAATATTGAACAAGACCCTTAGCTTCACGAGCGTAAATAATCATCCAACATTTCACAACAAAGTCTTCCATGACTAAACGGCCCTCCTTCTCTGGCTAGTGGCAACTTGAAACATGAAGTGCCATGAACACCTTCCCACGAAACTCTCGACTATCAGGAAACCGTGCCTCCTGTGCCGGTGGACTTGACCAAACCTCATCTCCTGGCACAAACTTGTGTTGGCTTTGCTGTTTGTCAAATCTAGCATTGCCCTGAAATTGCATGTGGTTGCATCACCTTGATGAATCACAAGCAACTTTCACCTGTATCCTGGTCTGCCCACTTGCATCCAGTACCTGCAGGTGCATCATTGGTTGAATGATGATGCGACTGCCTCTGAAGAAGCTTCAAGTATCTTTGGGACAAAAAAGAACATTGTCTTTCTATGGTTACAACATGTTACAACACACAAAAGAAACCTTCTCTCCTTTCTAGGGCTGCAGCCGCTGGAGATCAAGGTATTGCCTGGAGAGCTGAAGGAACTATATACATTCAAACATCTGATGCTTGATCGTTATCCATCAAAACAGCTAAAAGGGTGACAAGCGTGGAAGACACTAGGATCCCAGACTCCACACAGAGTCGCTCTGTGTCTCTAGCTTTTGGCTTTGCTCCTTGGCAACATCCGGCACCCAAGACCACTTGAGGTTCTTCTTCGCAACTTTGCAAGACTAAACTTGTAGAAATCCTTGGGAACAAATCTTTTCTACAGAAATCCACAGAAACTCATTGTTTCAGAGATGATTCATCATACCTTGGAGCCCCCACCACGGAGGCTTCATGCGACGGGTAGTCACGGCGATAGGACCGGCCACCACGGCCTTGTAAGATGGGTAAGCTCTGGGTTCTAAGAAGCCAAAAGAGTCTTTGCCTTGTTAATTGAGTAGAGACTACCCACTTGATTAAGTAAGGGAGAAACTGGTTCGCTATTGGTAGGACGCAGGATAGCTCACACTTCTTCAAGAAAGCTCCTTTGAAGAAGCGCTCGCACAGTTCACTTGGTTCCTAGATTTTTTGGGAAACTTGACCTTCTTTGGTTTATTCTTTCTTTGAAACCTTTCCTTTTCTTTTCCTGGCCTGGCGCTGCAGCTGTGGCACGATCCTGAGTATATAGATGCAAAATGGATTTTTTAAACATAGCGTTACGCAGCCAAGTCTGATATCAGAGGTCTTCTTAGGACACACACACACACACGTTAAACGTGCTGCAACTAACTCTCATTATATACTGGAAACACTGTTTTTGTAACGGCCAGGGATTTCCTTTGGAGTAAACTCCAGCGTTCTACGGAAGTGAAGTAGGCGACTTTTAAGCCGAAGTGCAAAGCCTCTGCTGCGGTAAGGCCCACGGCCTGGCTCCAAAGATTGTAGTGCACTTAGTGAACCAGTGAACCAAGACTAAACAAAACAAAGAGACAACTGGCACATGTTTGTACCTTCAAATCTGGGATAACATGTTAAGCTCTAGCAAAGACAAGCTAAGTCCAGAAACACAAAGAAATTTGGGGTGCAAAAATTGTTCTCTCTCGCCCTCTCAGAACAGTATCGCTCGTCCTGGCGCCCTTCACTCGTGCTCAGCGGACCGAGGCCTGATCCCTTAAAGGACTCTGTCGCCGTCGCAGCTGGCAGCGCTGGATTAGCTGGACAACTCTCACTCGCAAGTCTTCGCAAAACTGATTGCATCCTTTCATAGTTGTCCTAAAAATAGAATCCATGTCCGTTCGTGGGTCACTGCATATGATCCGTCAGGAAATGAACTATGTGAAGTTGGTAAGGCAGCGAAACCAAAATTACAGAGAAAAAGGAAGGGTCTACTACAAGTAGTGTCCTACAAAAAAAAATATCATTACACGTGACTATACAGTACAAGCTCTCATAAAAAGTACAACTCTGCAATCAAAACCGATGAAAATGCCAAGCACCTCCTCGATACATCGTCCTTGTGAAACTGTGCGCGGCCTGGGCCTGGATGCTTGGACAGGAAGAATGCAACTCCAAAGAGAGCAATGTTCGCTACTAGGAGCAAAGGACATCGCTACTAAGAGCAAGGACGCTTACTAGGGGCTCCTGGCCTTACTACTAGGAACAAGAAGCTGGAACAATCCAAATTGCAAAGTAAAATGGCGGCCACTACGCAGAAAATCCTACACGCACTCGCAGGCCTGGGTCCGAACACAATCCACTTTGTCCCTTTTCAGCTTTGACTTGAACCAAAATGATGACACAGAGATGCAAAAGATCTTCCAAGAAACTCACTGTGAGAGTGTGAGAATGATGCCTTTATGCAAGTTATATACCAAATCAAGCAAAGCAATGATTGAGCAGTGTGCAACCCAAAAAATGATTGACGGAGTGATGCTCACCTTGCATTGTCTACCCCTGTTTCATTTGGCATTGTCCACGCTTGTGTGTGTTGACACACATTCAGGTTGAATGTACAAGTTACCAAAAACTAGACGACGAGTGGCCCGAACGCATTTTTCATCACGTAGGAAGTCAGAGTGTGAGTTATCTGTTAAGTGTTCAGTGTGAAGTGTTAAGTCGAGTGAGTTGAGGCAGTGTGTGGGTCTCTGTGTGTGTGTGTGAGTTTCTGTCTGTGTGTGTGTCCGAGGAAGTTGAGGCAGTGCGTGGGTGTGTGATGTGTGTGTATGAGTCCCGTCTGTGTGTGTGCGTGTGTCTATGTCTGCTGCTGGTGAAGGTCTTCACTGTAGATATAGTGAACGAAGTAGCGCGCAGGCCTCCCAAGCCCCCCACCGGCGGCCAAGCGGTGACAGCTCAGCTCATCGTCGTGAGCATTTGAGCTGCTGGTAAGGGCAAATGGTGACTTTCTTCACTGTAGATATAGTGAAGGAAGTAGCTCGCAGGCCTCCCAAACCCCCCACCGGCGGCCAAGCGGTGACAGCTCAGCTCATCTTCGAGAGCATTTGAGCTGCTGGTAAAGGGAAATAGTAAAGCACACAGCTCTTCTGTCTGGGAGCCCGACCCTCGCTGAGACGTAACATCCACCTCAGAGTGTCCATTCCTTGAGAAAGGAAATCTCACCGAAAAAAGCGAGCTGGAATGAAAATAGAAAATTGCTGAGGCAGCTACGCAACAAGTTTGTCGAAGCAGTGACCTGTCAGAGGAGATGCATCCATCGATATACGATAAGAGGTAACTTTTCCTTCACTCTAGGACACAGCTTCTCTGGGATGTAGTTAACCAACCACTATGCTTGTCATTGTCTAATTGACTGTCTCAAAGAAGAACGTGACAAAGTAGCATGAGGTGACACACAGCAGCCACTGCATATGTTTTAGCGTACTCTCTTTGCTCAGCTCGCGACTAGCCTTTGTACACAGAAAAGATAGTTTATGTCTAGTAACCGCCTTGTTGCGCTTCCGCAGAATGACGTCCACACAGGAGGTGTTTGGAAGAAGTCACGGTATGAAACACGCAGTTGGTTTCCATGTAAACATCTTGTTTTTTACCTCCATTCAGGGTCTTTGCCTAGTTGGGCAGCAGGGTCTTTGCCAGCCTGGTCTGGGTCTAGCGCGTCGACCCGAAGCAGATCTGGATGGTGTAGGCATCTGTGAAGTTGCGGCTGTTGTTCCTCACCCAGTCTTCCCAAAACCGTCCTCCACATTCGGCCGCACCGCTTCCTGTATGGGAATTTGCGTGGATACCAGAAGCAGCCACCTAATTGAACAAAAACAGATTGTAAGCAAAGTTGTACACTACGCCCCTCCCCTGAGCCCCCACCTCTCTCGCTGCGTCCGCACCGACTCGGCACCGACCCGCGGAATCTCCGCAGAGGGTTGCGCGCACACAGGACACATCGCACTCTCGCCTGCATTTCGCGCACTCGACATGCAAGATCTCCGCAGAGGGTTGCGCGCACACCGGCCAAATCGCACTCTCGCCTACATTTCGCGCGCTCGACACGCACGATCTCCGCAGAGGGTTGCGCGCACACCGGCCTAATCGCACTCTCGCCTACATTTCGCGCGCTCGACACGCACGATCTCCGCAGAGGGTTGCGCGCACACCGGCCAAATCGCACTCTCGCTTACATGCGGGGTTCCGCGCACACCGGCCAAGTCGCACTCTCGCCTGCATCTCGCGCACTCGACACGCACGATCTCCGCAGAGGGTTGCGCGCACACCGGCCAAATCGCACTCTCGCCTGCATTTCGCGCACTCGACACGCACGATCTCCGCAGAGGGTTGCGCGCACACCGGACAAGTCGCACTCTCGCCTGCATTTCGCGCACTCGACACGCACGATCTCCGCAGAGGGCTGCGCGCACACCGGACAAATCGCACCCTCGCCTGCATTTCGCGCAGGATCTCCGCAGAGGGTTGCCCGCGTGCAGGACAAATCGCACTCGCCTGCATTTCGCGCACTCGACACGCACGATCTCCGCAGAGGGTTGCGTGCACATGGGACAAGTCGCACTCCTGCATCTCGCGCACTCGACACGCACGATCTCCGCAGAGGGTTGCGCGCACACCGGACAAATCGCACCCTCGCCTGCATTTCGCGCAGGATCTCCGCAGAGGGTTGCCCGCGTGCAGGACAAATCGCACTCTCGCCTGCATTTCGCGCACTCGACACGCACGATCTCCGCAGAGGGTTGCGTGCACATGGGACAAATCGCACTCCTGCATCTCGCGCACTCGACACGCACGATCTCCGCAGAGGGTTACATTTTCGGTTGACGCTGTTCGTCCCACCCTCCGCCTTTAAGAGAGAATTTATAAAGTAGGGAAATGTTTTTCATTAGGACATCTCCTGTGCAAGTTTTCCAATACCCACACTGGAATACTCATTAGGACATCTCCCGTGCAAGTTGTACTTTTGCACTTGTATACTTGCCGTGGAATGCTTTCACTCTTCCACTTACACTGGGATACGTATAGACGTGATAGACGTGTCAGTGTTCAAGTGTAAGTGTGGAAGCGTAAGTGTTCAAGTGTACGTGTAGAAATGTCAGTGTTCAAGTGCAAGTGTGTAAGTGCAAGTGTAGAAGTGTCAGTGTTCAAGAGATTTTCCGGAAGAACCCTTCGCAATGCTTTCGGGAAAAACCTGTATATAAACAAGGGAAGTCAAGCACAAAAAATCAGAAGAGCACACAATACTCAATACTCAAATAAAGTGTTAGTACTCACCTGGTGAGCAACAAAATGTAGCTCAGTAGCTTCCGTTTTCTAGACTGCCCATCAAACGATACATTGTCATGTGTCCTGTTGCATCAAGGTCACCGAACACATGTTTGACTATGGAGGCGTTCCCAACAATGAAGAAAATTTTGACTTCAAAAAGGATATAATAAGGTTCAAGAAGTACCAAACAAAAGGAGCAGGTGCAGCAGTAGTGATTCAGTTTCGGGGTATGGATTTCCATTCTGTGAAGGCAAACATTCTGCACAAAGATTCTGTTTTGTGTTACATACAGATTTGGTTTTGACCTTTGTTGCCTACTGTGTTCGCAAAACAATTCCTTTCAAACTATATAAGTTCTGAAGTTGCATGAGCACTCATTGGATTGAAACCATTGATATATTGTTTCATTCACCTGACGTATGTAGGTAGCACACTGACACACAGTGTTCAACAGTGTTCAATACTTGCGCATTAATTAATTGATGCGATGGATAAGTTTTAAGACGTCCTGTTCTTTTCAACAACCAACCTGAATAAGAAAAAAATTGTCGAACGGTGGGTTGACCTCTGTTACCAGATTGGAGGGCAACCTTTAACAGGTTTCATCTCATGGCCATCTTCAAGGATCCTCTGAGTACATAAGAGGTCTTGAGCTGCCTTCTGCTCTTTTTGCAATTCATCGATGCTGCATTCATGTGGCTTTGGATAGTGCTCATTGTCTTGGTGTTTCATTGTCTGTCAGTCTTGAGATGTTGCTCCGTAATCTGTATGGAAACAATTGCAAGCAGGTGAATGCTGTGTGAGAACGGATGCTGCTCAGTGCATGCCTTGTGGGCGCTGAATGTGAAATTAGAAGTTTTCTGGCTTTCTGCTCGATTGTTGATGAGTGATGACGATGAGCTCAACCACTTCACCATTTCCGTCAACCCAAATCTATCTTCATTTCCAAGTGCAACACTCATGCTCCCAGCCGCAAACTGTAACGAAAACCCGTGGTGCTGGTTATGTTCCTCGGATGTTATGTTCCTCGGATGTCTATGGTTTGTCGGCATCTTAGGCTTGCCGAAAGCTCACTATTCAATCGAACCTGTCGGAAAAACAACGTGTTCCATCTGAACATCATTGGTAAGAAAGGTCGGCGCTCATGTTTCATGTATGCTGTAAAGATTCAACTGTGATAATCACAGCGCTGATGCCCTTAAAGCATTTTACATCGCAAGCAATATTGAATCAAAGGTATGCTTGGCAATATTGTTGATGTCCACATTCTGAATTGATCCTGAGTTCTCTGAGTTCTCCAAAAAAAAGAATCGTTGGTGAGCCGGGACATTCAACCACTTTGTCACAAATCAACATGGCAGAAAAATGGTTCCAGCATTCACTCGCATCTCAACATGCCCCTCACAAATGGTGTCAAAAAGGAGATGGGTTGAGCTCCAAGCAGGTGAAGATTTACGACGCCCACAAGGTCACAGCTGACCGATTCCATGAAGAAAAAGATTGCACGCATGGGGGACAATGCAAAAGATTTTTCTGGACTGCACCCTCAACAACAAGCCTGGCACCAACAGCACTGCCGCACATTCAATGAGCGGCACCTGCGACTTCCAGCCCAGCACCATTTTCCAGCCAGCAATGGACATGGAACATGAAGAAGAGTTCTCCACAAGATCTGACGTCTTCCAACCGCCCTGCCACTGAATGTGCAAAATCGAGGCTTTGACAAAAGTTTAGTGATCTTGAGTGATGGGATGAGTGGTGTGTCTGCGGGGCATTCCAACACGTGGCACGCGAAAGACCTGCAATGTTTGTGAAAGAAACACACAGATCAGCAAGGCATTGCGTTTGTTTTTTTTCACGAGTCGAGCCGCCATTCATGCAGGAAGTGCACAGGTCAGCTTGTGCAATTTTTGCAGAGTCTCCAGCAGCTAAAAAGTGGCTGGGGATACCGCACAAGTTTGGGAGGAGCAGAAGACAACCCCTTGACCTACAATAACGATCCACAAATGCCTGACACGCCGTGGACGGAGAGGGCCTATGCAACGAGGGCACTCGACCCGTCCCTGGGTCAGT